AGTCAAGGAGCATGATTCCTCCAGCTCCATGTTTCATTCTCAAGATTGCTTTGGCTATTTGGGGTCTTTTGTGTTTCCATACAAATTGTGAACTTTTTTGTTCTAGTTCTGTGAAAAATGCCAGTGGTAGTTTGATAGGGATTGCATTGAATCTGTAGATTGCTTTGGGTAGTAGAGTAATTTTCACCATGTTGATTCCTCCAATCCAAGAACATGGTATATCTCTCCAACTATTTGTATCATCTTTAATTTCTTTCATCAGTGTCTTATAATTTTCTGCATATGAGTCTTTTGTCTCCTTAGGTAGGTTTATTCATAGGTATTTTATACTTTTTGTTGCAGTGGTAAATGGGCATGTTTCCTTAATTTCTCTTTCAGATTTTTCATCATTACTGTGTAGGAATGCAAGAGATTTCTGTGCATTAATTTAGTATCCTGCTACTTTACCAAATTCATCGACTAGCTCTAGTAGCTTTCTGGTAGCATCTTTAGGATTCTCTATGTATAGTATCATGTCGTCTGCAAACAGTGCCAGCTTTATTTCTCCTTTTCTGAATTGGATTCCATTTATTTCTTTTCTTCTCTGATTGGTTTATCCTAGGTAGCAAGGCTGGTTCACCATTCAAAAATCAATTAATGTAATCCATCATATCAACAGGCTAAAGAAGAAGAACCACATGATCATATCAAATAATGCAGACAAAAGTTTTGGCAGAATCCAACACTCACTCATGTTAAAATAAAAAAACCTCTCAGTAAACCAGGAATAAAGGGGGGAATTCCTCAATTTGATAATGAATATCTACAAAAAACCTACAACTAACATCATACTTAATGATGAAAAACTAGAAGCTTTCCCACTAAGATCAGGTACAATGCAAGGATGCCCCCTCTCAGCACTCTTTTTCACATTATACTGAAAGTCCTAGCTGAAACAATAAGACAAGAATAGGAAATGAGGGGCTTCCCTGGTGGCGCAGTGGTTGACAATCCGCCTGCCGATGCAGGGGACACGGGTTCGTGCCCCGGTCCCGGTCCGGGAGGATCCCACGTGCCGTGGAGCGGCTGGGCCCGTGAGCCATGGCTGCTGGGCCTGTGAGTCCGGAGCCTGTACTACGCAGCGGGAGGGGCCACAGCAGTGGGAGGCCCGCGTATCGCAAAAAAAAAAAAAAAAAAAAAAAAAAAAGAATAGGAAATGAAAGGTATATTGATTGGGAAGAACGAAATAAAGCTGGTCTTTTTTCACAGATAACTTGGTTGTCTATGTAGAAAATCTGAAGGAACCTATAAAAATCTCCTGGAGCTAATAAGCAATTAAAGCAAGGTTACAGGGTACAAGGTTAACATACTAAAGTCAACTGATTTCCTATATACCAGCAATGAAGTAGAATTTGAAATTAAAAACACAATACCATTTACATTAGCACCCCAAAAATGAAATACATAGGTACAAATCTAACAAAATATGTACAAGATCTATATGAGGAAAAGCATAAAGCTGATGAGAAAAATCAAAGAACTAAATAGAGAGATAGTCCATGTTCATGAATAGGAATATTCAATAGTGTCAAAATGTCAGTCCTTCCATTCTTGATCTATAGATTCAATGTAATTTAAAAAAAAATCCCAGCAAATTATTTTGTGGAAATCAACAAACTGATTCTAAAATTTATATGAAGAGGCTAAAGACCCAAATTGGCCAACTCAGTATTTAAGGACAAGATCAAAGTCAGAGGACTGACCCTGCCCAACTTTACGACTTACTATAGTAATCAAGACGGTATGGAATTGGTGAAAGAATAGATCAATAGATTGATAGAAAAGAACACAGAGCCCCCAAATAGACTCATATAAATATAGTCAACTGATCTTTGACTAGGAAGCAAAGGCTATACAATGGAGTTAAGAGAATCTCTTCAACAAATTGTGCTAGAACAACTGGACATCTACATGCCAAAAAAAAAATAGAATCTAGAAACAGACCTTACACCTTTACAAAAATTAACTCAAAATGGACCAAAGATCTAAACATAAAATATAAAACTCCTAAAAGTTGTAAAAGAAAAAAAAAAAAACTCCTAGAAGATAACAAAGGAGAAAATCTAGGTGACCTTGGGTTTGGTGATAAGCTTTTAGATACAATAGCAAAGGCACAATCCATGAAAAAAAGAATAGATAAGCCAGACTTCATTAAAATTAAAAATTTTGCTCTATGAAAGCTCTGATCAAGAGAATGAAAGACAAGTTACAGACTGGGAGAAAATATTTGCTAAAAACTTATCTGATAACGGACTGTTATCTAAAATATACAGAGAGCATTGGAGACAAGATGGTGGAACAGAAGGACTTGAGCGCCTCTCCTCTCATGAAAACACAAAAATCACAACTAACTGCTGAACAACCATTAACAAAAAAAGACTGGGACCTACCAGAAGAGATATTCTACATCCAAAGACAAAGAAGAAGCTACAAGACGGTAGGAAGGGTGCTTTTGCGATAAAATATACAAAGAACTCTTAAAACTCAACAAGAAGAAAACAACTCAAAAAATGAGCCAAATATCTTAACAGGCACCTCATCAAAAATATACAGATGACAAACATATAAAAAGATGCTTGTGATATTATGATTTATAATAAGAAATATATATTTGGTCTTCATCCCCGTTTCTGGCACAGAGCTCCTAAAACCCTTAGAATTTCCTAAGTGATGAGAGCAACAAAGTTGTCTTTTGTTCTGTTAATGAGGTGACTTTTGGACCACACCTCTGGTTGCCAGGAGAACCAACCATGTGATTAGAGGGTTGGAACTTTCAGTCCCAGTTCCCTGACCTCTGGGGAGGGGAGAAGGTTTGGAGGGTGAAATCAATCACTGATGGCCAATGACTTAACCAATCATGCCTATGTAATGAAGCCTACATAAAAACCCCAAAGGAGAGGGTTCAGAATTGGGGAACCAGAACACTTCCACCATGCCAGGCCCCAGACTCCATGAGGACAGAAGCTCCTTTGTTCAGGACCTCATCCTATACGTCTCTTCATCTGGCTATTTATTTGTATCCTTTAATATACTCTGTAATAAATTGGTAATCTAGTGAGCAAACTGGTTTCCTGAGTTCTGTGAGCTGCTCTAGCCAATCAGTCGAACTCAAGGACGGGGTCATGGGAACCTCTGATTTACAGCCAGTCTGTCAAGTAACAACTTGGATTTGCAATTGGCATCCTGAGTTTGAGGGGGAATCACTGGAACTTCCAGTTTGTAGCCAGTTGGTCAGAAGCACAGTTAACCATCTGGGCTTGTGACTGGCAACTGAAGTAGAGGGCAGTCTTATAGAACTGAGCCCCTTCCCTGAGCCCCCTCCCCCTTCCGATGCTATCTCTGGGTAGATAGTGTCAGAATTGAATGGAATTGTAGGACACCCAGCTCGTGTCCTGAGCATTGCTTGGATACCACTCTACACATTGGAATTGGGTTCAGAATCCTTAATGCTCTGTATCACATGACATTAGGGAAATTAAAATTAAACAACAATGATATGTCACTATGCACCTAATAGAATGGCTCAAGTCCAGAACACTGATAACACGAAACACTGACAAAGATGCTGAGCAATAGGAACTCTCATTCACTGCTGGTGGGAATGCAAAATGGTATAGACATTTTGGAAGACAGTTTGGCTGTTCTTACAAAACTACACATACTCTTACCATATGATCCAGCAATAACGCTTCTTGATATTTACCCAAATGATATTTACCCAAAGGTTATATTGATATTTACCCAAATGATATTTACCCAAAGGTTATGTTCACACAAAAACCTGCCTAAGAATGTACACAATAACTTTATTCATAATCACCAAAACCTGGAAGCAACCAAGGATGTCCTTCAGAAGGTGACTGGATAAATATACTGTGGTACATCCACACAATGGAATAGATTCAGTGCTAAAAGTAAATGAGCTATCAAGCCATGAAAAGATATGGAGGGAACTTAAATGCATATTAGTTAGTGAAAGAAGCCAATCTGAAAAGGCTACATACTATATGATTCCAATGATATGACATTCTGGAAAAGGCAAAACAATGGAGACAGTAAAAATATCAGTGGTTTTCAGGGGTTTGGGGTGGAGGAAGGGATGAACAGGTGGAGCACAGAGGATTTTTAGCCTAGTGAAATCACTCTGTATAGTACTCTCATGGTGGATAAATGTCATCATATGTTTGTCCAAACCTATAGATCTACAACACCAAAGAATGGACCCTAATGTAAACTATGGACTTTGGGTGATAATGTGTCAATGTAGGTTCATCGATTGTAACAAATGTACCCTCTGGTGGAGGATGTTGAGAATGGGGAAGGCTATGCATGTGTTAGGACAGGGGGTATATGGGAAGTTTCTGTACTTTTTGCTCAATTTTGCTATGAACCTAAAACTGCTCTAAAAAATAAAGTCTATCAAAACAAAACAAAACAAATCATAGTACCTTTAGGAAAAGAACAACACCCTAAAGAGTTCAATACAAATTTTAAAGAAACAGCTAAATAAACACTGGAATGATTTTCTCTACTCTCTTTACCTGTCAAAACTACATATCCTTCAAAGTACAACTTGAACACCACTTTCTCAGTGACGTCTTCCCCAACTTCTGGACATACTTAGTCACTCCACTTCCTGCGATCCCATCCTGCTATCACAGTACTAACACCATGTTATAGAGTAGGAGTTCTCAAATTTTAGTGAGCATCAGAATCACCTGGGAGAACTTGTTAAAACAGGTTTCTTGTCCCAGCCAAGATCTGAATTTGGAGATTCTGAGTCTGAAGCCTACGAATTTCTATTTATAACATCCTCCCAGATGATGCTAATGCTGTTGGTTCGTGGACCACACTTCCAGTAGCAGTTATGCTTTATTCTACACATGGCTGGCTCCCGTAAGACTGCGAGCTCAACAAGGAACCTCATCCAGCACACAGTAGGCACTGAATAAATGTCTTACTTTTTTTTGCTTCTTTTTATCAGCCTCTTCCTGTAAGTTTTGAAGGGCGCTTTGCATGAGCTTCATGTTCAAGTCCTGATCTTCTCTGTATTCCTGCTGAATATGCTCCATCTTCTCTTGGAGGGCTTTTTGCAAAGCAGCCCTTATTTCCTGTTTTGTCTTCTGTTTCTTTAGCTTATCCTGTTCATTCTCAAGTTTCACCTGTGCTTTGTCATTTTCCTATGGCAGAACAATAGTGAAGATGCTATATCAGTACAGTTGGACAAAACAAAGAAGTTAATGCATTTCATTTAAGAGGTGAGAATAAACGGTTTCTTGGAAACACACAGTCCTGGGTTGAAAAGGTACTATAAGAAATAAAACTTGCCTTTTCATTGCTGAATCAGCAATATGGCTTTGTGAAATTGCTGTCTGTGTGTGATTATAAAGTAATAAATAGTTGTGGAGTTCAAAATGCAGAAAAGTATAAGGATAAATCACTTTTATTGTTAATACCCATTCACCCACTACCATTCTCAACGTTTTGGTGTATTGACCTTCCAGACTTTAGTCTTCTATGCACATCTGCACATCTAGATTTGGATACATTATTAACCAGCAATAAAAGTCCAGAAATGGAGATGTCCACATCAGCTAAATATACAAAAGTAAATTAAGCATTTTGTTCTTTAAAAGCTCTCCCCCATTCCTCTCATTTTCTTATCTATCTGACCCTCCTGGCTAGCTTAACTGCCTGACTAACAGTTTTAACTGGGGTACCACTGCTGTTGGGTGCTGAGTTTGGTATAAACTGAGGCATTAATCCTCCTGTCAAAGGCATTTGCACTCTCCTGGAAAGATAAGTCCTTGCCCAGCAGGGACAGGAGATGACACATTTATAGCGAGGAGGGATACAATCCCCAATTGACTTGATCTGAGACTCACAACAGCCATGCTTGCCACGATTTCTGGCTTGTGAGAGGGAAGTTATATGCTAGACTTTTCCATTAATGTCATGAGAGTAATTCCACACTGAATTGTGAAGGTCAAATGAGACAATAAAAGTAAAAATGCTCTGCAATATTTAAGGAAAAACGATGGATATCAAACATGAAAGCCAGTGGGATAGCAGGCCACACTTTTTATTTATTTATTTTTCTTTCATTTATTTATTTGGCTGCACTGGGTCTTAGTTGCCACGTGCAGGACATTCGTTGCAGCATGCAGGATCTTCAGTTGTGGCATGCAAACTTTTACTTGTGGCATGTGGGATCTAGTTCCCCGACCTGGGATCAAACCCAGGGCCCCTGCAGTGGGAGTGCAGAGTCTTAGCCACTGGACCACGAGGGAAGTTCCAGGCCACACTTTTTAAAAGGAAGGTTGACTATACCAGGAGGCAGCAATCAGCCAAATCAGACTATGAAGCAGGTAAAGATGGTATGGGGGGAGAACTGCTCAAAACTAAGAGACCTAAAAGCAGTTTACTATGTCTTGGTTTCCCCAGGACAGTTCTGATTTTACACCGTTGTGCTTATGTACTGAATTAAATGCACACCTTTCAATCTCAAATGTGACCAGATTTGAATAATAAACAGTGACTCATTCTAAAAGAGACTTATAAGAGGACAACAATGTTTGGATCCTGATCTAAATGTCAAATAACTTAGTGATGGAAATTTGATGCTGATTTTAGATGATAACAATGAATTATTATTAATTTTTTTAGGTTTGATATTGGCATTGTATAAGAAAATGTCCTTAATCATGTTGTTGAGATGCATACTAGAGATGTATTTAAGGGAGAAATGACATGTCTGGGACACACACACACACACACACACACACACACACACATGCACACACATATATATTTTTGGCTGCGTTGGGTCTTAGTTGTGGCCCACAGGATCTTCACTGAGGCACGCGGGATTTTTCATTGCAGCGTGCGGGCTCTTTGTTGTGGTATGCGGGCTTCTCTCTAGTTGTGGTGTGTGGGTTTTCTCTTCTCTAGTTGTGGTGCTTGGGTTCCAGAGCACGTGGGCTCTGTAGTTTGGGGCACGCGGGCTCTAGCTGAGGCAGGCGAGCTCAGTAGTTGTGGCACGCGGGCTTAGTTGCCCTGCAGCATATAGGATTTTAGTTCCCTGACCAGGGATTGAACCTGTGTCCCCTGCATTGTAAGGTGGATTGTTTACCACTGGACCACCAGGGAAGTCCCTGGGACATATTTTAAAACAAAAACGGAAGGGGGTAGAATATAGGAAATCAACATGTCAAAATGCAACAGCTGCTGAAACTGGGAGATCAGTACATGAGTATGATCATTGTACTCTCCACTTCCGTGCATTTGAAAATGTTCATATTATTATTTAATATGACATTACTGTTATAATTATAACAAATGTTATAATTATAACATTCAAAAGGGTGGAATAACATTCTTGAAATTACAAAATAATAGAGATAAAGAACCCATCAGTGGCTGCCAGGGGTTAGGGTTGAGGGTGGTGATGAAATAAAATTTATATTTTAAGGTAGGACGAAAATGTAAACATAAAATTCTCTCTCTCTCTGTCTGTTTGGGCCTCCTCCCTCCCCCTTTACAGTGCAACGTGCATCTTCATTATACATTAACCAGACCTCCTCAAAGATGGGAATGCCTACTTCATGGCAAAGATCAATTTTTTCTTTCTTCTGACGCCAGCAATATAACTTTATAGAGGATTAATATTCTTTCCCAACTCTGTAAGGGGTCATGGTGACTTACTGCTTGATTTGTACGTGCTTACCCGGACTATGTATCTTTGGTGAACTTATGTAAAATGTCAGTGTGTCATTTTGATGTATGATCCTCTGTCTTGAAAATGTATATGACTGTGCCTTCAACTACTAACAGGTGGAACAATTCTCAGAGCTTCTGAGAGTCTGTCTCTTGTATTATAATCCTTAGTTTGGCTTGAATAAAATTCTCTTTTCCTTCTTAACTTGATTGTTAATTGAATTTTCTTTGACAGAGGTTATAACAGTAAAGGAGTAGCTGGAAGGAGTTTCTTTGAATGATGGAACAATTCTGTATCCTGATTCAGTAGTGGTTACATAAATGTAGTGGTTACATATGGTAAAATTTCATACAACTATACCCCTTCCTCCAAACAGTGCATGTAAAAGCTGGTGAAATCCAAAGGAGGGTTTTTTAGTTTAGTTAAATAAGGGAGTAACTTTAGTTGAAAGTATTATACCAGTATAAGTCTCTATATATAATATTTGGTTATGTAAAGGTACACAGAAACTCTAATATTTTTGGCAACTCCTTGTTAAAGTTATTTCCAAAAAAAATTTTTTTAAAGTAAGATAGAAATAGAGATAGCTAGGTGTGCTATAAAAAATAAATATTTTGTCTTTGCCCCTGGTTCCTGGCACATGGCTCCTAACACCCTTGGAATCTCCAAAGTGATAAGATTATCTTTTGTAGCCTAATGAGATGACCAGTGGCCGGACCCCCTAGATAGCTTCAGGATGGGAGATGATAACTAGAAAGACCAAACCATGTGATCAGAGGGTTGGAACTTTAGCTCCACCCCTTGACCTCCAGGGAGGGAGGGAAGAGGGGCCAGAGATTGAGTTCAATCACCAATGGTGATTGAATTAATCAATCACGCCCATGTGATGAAACCTCCATAAACCCCCAAATGATGAGGTCCAGAGAGCTTCTGGATTGAACGCATCAAGGTGGTGGGGGCATGGAAGCTCTGTGTACCACCCCACATACCTTCCCCTATGCATCTCTTCCATTTGACCATCTCTGAGTTGTATACCTTACAATAAGCTGGTAATGGTAAGTAAAGCACCTTCCTAAGTTCTATGAGGTGTTTTAGTGAATTACTGAAACTGAGGGGGAGTCATGAGAACCTTGGACTTTGTAGCCAAGCTGGACAGAAGTGTGGGTAACCTAGGGACCCACGACTTGTGATGGGTATCTGAAGTGAGGGCAGTCTTGTGGGACTAAGCCCTTCAACTTATGGAGTCTGACACTAACTCCAGATAGTATCAGAACTGAATCAAATTGTAGGACACCTAATCAGTGTCTGCAGAGCATCAGAGTATTGTCTGATGTGAGAAAAAACCCCACACATTTGGTGTCAGAAGTGTTGTGAGTAAAACAGGCTCACTAAGTATCTTACACCAGAGGAGGGGGTATATATAAGGCCATTTGGGGGCCACTATTTTGATTTTCTTAGAGATCTTCTACTAAACTCTTCAAAATAAAACAATCTTAAACCCAGAGAAGATTTCTGGGCTCTGCATGTACCTTACCTTTGATGTTTCTTATGGTTTCAAATTTCAATACTTGGGATTTCCCAAGAAAATATTACCATCTTCCTAAATTTAGTGGTATTAAAGTATCAGATGTTGAAAGCTTTATATACGTATAAAATTGCTACCTTTTTGAGTGCTTGCACACATTTCCATTGACAACTCTAATTTGTATATACTAGGGGCAGTGATCTTGTAGGAACAAAATTATTGATGTTGGTGGTCTGCGGGGGGGGTCACTTGTAGCTGTTGTATAAGCACTTTATATAGGATTTGGAAACTATCAATTATCCATATCAAAGAATGGGGGAATGTTGCCAAATTGCCACTAGGCTTCATTGGCACTGCCGATGATTATCCCATTTCATCCTCACAACAAAGACAAGTGCCCTTTGCCTCATTTTGTAGATGAGGAAACTGAATCACAGTAGTGAAGTAACTTGCCCTATACAATGAGATGGCACTGTCAGCTGGGCCTTGAAATCCAAGGCTCTGACCATGGTCTGTTGCTCTGTGAATGAGCCTTGGCCATCAGGCAAACAGTAGCAGGCCGGCAAACTGTATTCTAGCCACTCTCACAAGCATTTCAAAAGACCCACCACAAGGCGCGCCTCCTCCTCCTTCAGCCGCCGCGCTGCCTGCCTTTGCGCCTGGATGCTGGTGATCTGGGCATTCAGCCCCAGTCGTGTGTTCTCCACCAGCTCTCTCTGTCTCCTCGCCTCTTCAGCTTCTCGCTTCTCTTTGGCCACTCGGTCTTCCTCCCAGAGCTTTGAGAACATCTGCTCTTCCACCAGCTTCTGCCTTTTCAGCTCCTCATTAAAGGCTATCTGTGCTTTCCGATCCTTGGTCACTGCCTTCTGATGGATACAGGACAACTCAACACGGAGCTCCTCACAGCGTTCCCTGAAAGGACAATTTGAAAAAGAAACCCAGCCTTTCATAAGACATTGCTCTCTTTAGGCACAAATCTGCACAGTCAGACACTGAAGTAAGAAAGTTAAAGACCTGGATGTAGGCCATCTGAGCACCGGAAACACATGAGGGAGCAGCAAGGAGGCAGGCACCACGATGCCACAGACAAAGCACAGGCACTGGAGTCAAGCAGAGCAGGCTTTGATATCTGGTTTTGATATTTCCTATGTGACCTTAGATCAAAAACTCGATCTATCTGAGCCTGTTTCTATATCTGTGAAAGAACTGACTTTCAAGGTTCTGGTAAGAATCAGAGATAGATGGACATAAATACCTAGTAGGTAACAGGAACTCAGTAAATGGCAACTACTATTATTACTACAGAGGAAACAGAAGAGGGATGAGTCCCTGCAATATTACAAGTAGATTAAGGCTTTGGTAGAAAGAGACCCTGCATGTACATCCAAGAAAAGACCCAAGGATACAGTTAGCATATCATGGTGATGTTTCCCCATTGCATCTGGATTCCTGGCAGGGCACACATCCACTGAAGGGGTTTCTGCCAGAGTTGAGAAAACAGCCCTCTTGTTGCCTTTTTACAACCAGGCTTGTGTCACCATTCAAGAAGAAATGCTATTTCAGTAAGTGTTTGGACCTCATCCTTTCTTTCAGCCTCAGTAATTTAAATTTCTTCAAATGTTCTTGATTGAGCCCATTTTTAATTTAAGAGCTGTGAAATTATTTAGCAATATTTTCAAAGCCCTACTCTCCCCTTCCTCCCTACCCCCTCCCAGACCAGATTTGTTAAATCAGAATGTTTAACACATCTGTATTTTTTAAAAGCTCTTCAGATGGTTCTGACATACAGCCAAGTTTGAGAACCTATGATGGAAGGCAATGTTTTTTATAAACATCAAGTCTTCCTGGTTTCTAAATCAAATTCTACACCAAGAAGCTAAAGTTTGGAGAATAGGCTCAATAAAGAACTTTTAAAGAAATTCGAGTTGTTAAGACTGAAAGAAAAGATGAGGTCTAAGCTCTTACTGCAAGAGTGGTCAATATCACACAAAATGAAACCCCCAAAATACACTTTAACATTTAAAAAAAACGAATTCAGCTGTCTGAAATTCATCAGTGAAATCCTCAGAATTGGCCATGATAACTTATTAAAGTCCTTCCCAATCCTATGATTCATACTCTAACAAAGGTATTCAATTAATGGAAATCTAAAGCCTAAGGATAATAAGTATGGCTTATATTTTTAAATTTTTATTTAAAATCAACTCTTTCTAACTAAGTATAAAACTAATACATGGGGCTTCCCTGGTGGCGCAGTGGTTGAGAGTCTGCCTGCTGATGCAGGGGACACGGGTTTGTGCCCCGGTCCGGGAAGATCCCACATGCCGCGGAGCTGCTGGGCCCATGAGCCATGGCCGCTGAGCCTGCGCGTCCTGAGCCTGTGCTCCGCAACGGGAGAGGCCACAACAGTGAGAGGCCCACGTACCGCAAAAAAAACCCAAAAAAGCCAAAAAACTAATACATGTTCATTGCAGAAAAACTAGAAAATATAGAAAAGTATGAAGACACTAAAAATAACACGTAATCCTACTATCAGGAGATGATCCCTATTAGCATGTTAATATATTTCTTTCCAGTCTTATGTATGTGCATTTTTACTAGAACTGGAGTTATTCTGCATATATATATATATCTCCTTGTATCTTAATTTTTCCACCTACCATTATATTGGGAATGCTTCCTCATGAAATATTCTTTAAAACAATTCCTAACCTTAGAACTTTATTATAGTTTACTAAGCTGCATAACAGAGGCTACAGCCTATAAATATATCACAGTTTACTTAAACATTCCCCTATTTGATGAACATATAGGTTATGTCTAACTTTTATTACAATGTTGCAATGAACATTGTTTCTGTAGCTCTTTCTGTTTATTGCTAATGATTTTCTTAAGGTAATTCCTTCCTTAATATGAAACCTAAGAGTACAAAGACATTCTTAAGGCAGTTGATGATGCATGCTGCCAAGAATGCCAGAATTAACACATTATTGACCAGAGATGTATTAATATGTCTTTTGTTACCCGAACATTATTGACCAGAGACATATCAATATGGTTTTAGAGAGTGATACAATTAACATCACCATGCGAAGTTGTTAGAGCTTAAAACTGATCACAACTTATGATTGTCATTATCATTCACATTTTGCTCAGTTAGGTTTTTGTTCCAACCCTGTGTATATTATAAATGCAAGTTTATTATAAAATTTTCAAAAATAACGCATTGCGAAATTTTGAGCGAAGAAGAATTTTTCAGTGAATTTTATGCAGATACTTTCTCTGATTGTCCGAGTGACATATATGCTAGTGTCTCAGAAGATGACAGTTCTTCAGAATACAGTTCTGATTCAGATGATGTGAATATTAGACCAACAAAAAAACAAAAAACCTTAGTGATTGATTCTGATACAGAAAGTGAAAATGAAACTCACGGTGCTGGAGAATGCTCCTTTACTTCTACAGAAGAGTGGACAGAGGACAACATTTAACAAAAATTACAAGACTTTAGAGGTGTGTCAAGTATAACTATTGAATGTAATAACCCGCAAAGTATTACCAAAATAACAGAATTGATTTTTGGTAATGACTTTTTCAAGTTGGTCGCTTCTCAAACAAACTTGTATCACCAACAGAATGAAAAATCATATAAAAAGTATGATAAGACTTTAAAATGGACTGATGTAACCAATAGTGACATGAAGAAGTTTCTTGGATTAATAATTTTGATGGGACAAATAAGAAAGTCACACTGGAAAGAACAGTCAGTTGATCCCTTACTTGAAACCTATCTTTCCAAAGATTATGACCAGAAGAAGGTTCGAACAAATAATGACATTTCTTCACTTTAACGATAACTTGGAAACTCCACTTCCTGCAGACAGAATTTCAAAAGTTAAAGCTCTTTTGGATTATTTTCTACCAAAATTTCAATTGATCTATATACTCAAACAAGAGCTATCACTTGATGAGGCAATGATAAAGTGGAGAGGACGACTCAGATTCAAAACCTATAATCCCAGAAAACTTACAAAATATGGAATTTTGGTCAGGATGGTTAGCAAAAGTGAAACTGGATATATATGCAACCTTGAGATTTACATGGGTGAAGAAAAGAAACTTCAAGAAACAGTTTCAGTCCTACAACCTTATCTTAGTTCATGGCACCATATTTACCAAGACAATTATTACAACAGTGTGTCCACATCTGAAATACTGTTGAAAAATAAAACCAGAGTTTGTGGGACTATAAGAGATAATCGTGCTCTACCAAACCAATTAAAGGATAAATCTAAAAATCTACAGAGGGGAGAAATGACATTCTTATGGAAGGGAGAAGTGATTCTTCTTATATGGAAAGACAAGAGGTTAGTCCGCATGGTGACAGTTATTCATGACGCCTCCATAGCATCTACAGGAAAGGAAGACAGGAGGAGTGGCCATCAGGTAACTAAGCTCACTTGTCTAATAGCGTATAATAAATATATAAGGAGTTGATCAATCTGCTCAATGCCTGGAAAACTTCAATATCCTCTGGAAAACTCAAAAATGGTATAAGAAAGTGGGTTTCTATTTGAGCAATTGCGGTTTATTCAATGTGTTTAAAATTAATTGTAGCTTTAATGCACAGAATAAAATGACTTACAAGCAACTTTTGTTAGCAGTAGCTAGAGAATGGGTAACTGACCATTCTGGTGAATGTAGTGGTAGTCCCACACCTGGTCCTTCTTGTGGCGTTTCTAAAAGAGCCCCCCGCAAAGATCCACCTTGTCAACTATCAAGTAAAATAAAATAACGTATTCTAGAGGAAATAATATCCACAGGACTAAAAAAAAAAAAAAAATGTCACCAGAAAGTGTAGAGTCTGCTCTTCCAGGGGAAGGTGCAGTGAAACATGGTATATTTGTAATAGATGTTCTGTTCCCCTGCACAGAGGTGCCTGCTAGGGCCTATCACACTCTAATGAAATATTAGAAAGCTTTCGTAAGACATGTACAAAGTTTCAAATAAATACATTAAGTGCAAAAAAAGTTGTTGATATTTACTCAAATGTGGGTGTTTCAATATTCACTTACAAAACAAATCTTTGGCCACAGGCATTAGTTTATGCAAAAATCCCCCAGTCAATAATGTGTTAACACTGCATAAATGAGCTCATATCATAAACATTTCTTTAGATCAGTAGGTTTTCAAGCTTTTTTGATTATGTACGTCTTTCAGTAAAAAAACTTCTAAGCACCCACAACATTGTTTATAAATTATATGAGGTTATTAATATGTAACTATCTCATATAAATTATTTATATGCAAAATTAAAATAGATGAGCTAAAAAACATCAAATAGATATCTATCTATTTTAATGATAATAATCATTAATAAGAGGAAAACTTTTTGTCAGTGCTTCACATGGTACTTTCACACATAAAATCTTATTTCATCCTCATAAGTGCCTTATAACTTAGATGGGGCAGCAAGTATTATCCCCATTTTAGAGTTAAAGAAATCGAAACCTGGCACTTCCCTCGTGGTCCAGGGGTTAAGACTTCACACTCCCAATGCAGGGGATCCGGGTTCAATCCCTGATCAGGGAACTAGATCCCGCATGCTGCAAAAGATCCCACGTGCTGCAACTAAAGATCCTGCATGCGGCAGTGAAAATACCACATGCCACAACTAAGACCTGGCGCAGCCAAATAAATAAATAAATATTTTTTTAAAAAAGAGGGATTTCCCTGGTGGTGCAGTGGTTAAGAATCCGCCTGCCAATGCAGGGGACATGGGTTCAAGCCCTGGTCTGGGAAGATCCTACATGCTGCGGATCAACTAAGCCTATGTGCCACAACTATTGAGCCTGCACTCTAGAGCCTTGAGCCACAACTACTGAGCCCGTGTGCCATAACTACTGAAGCCC